TCAAGACATGGTTTTTTCAGCAAGCGGGCCTGACCTAGGGAGGATTTTAGGTAGGGATATTGTAAAAGTATTTTAATTGGAATCACAGCGGGTAATATTTGGTTTTAATTCGGTTTTTATCGGGGTTTATTTTTGTATTTTTTGTATTTCTGTATTTTATTTTTTGTATTTTGTATTTTGTGTATATTATTTGTTTTTACTATGCTGTGAACCGCCCTGAGTCCTACGGGAGTAGGGCGGTATACAAATTAAATTATCAATCAATCAATCAATCACTTAAAAATAATAATAAATCCAATTTTCCAATATTCTTTGATAAAGAAAGAGAAATCAACCCTGTTTGACTCAGTTTCAGAGATGCCAATAGCAAGTGTTTTCAAAGGCTTCTTAAAATAAACTAGTTTTGAACTGATAGATTAAAACACATATATGTAAGTAAACTTAATATACATGAAAATTATGGACAGATCCTATAAGAGATACACTGCAATCTAAATAACTATACCCATAACATCAGCTACATCTTGCATGGCAGCCAGTTTGGTAGAGCGGCTAAAGGCACTGGTCTAGAAAACAGAAGTCTCTGAGCGCTAGTTCTGCATTAGACACAGAGCCAGCTGGATGACTTTGGACCACTCCCTTTCTCTCAGTCTAAAAGAAGGCGGCAATGGTAAACTATTAAATGCTGCCAAGAAAACTGCAGGATTTGTCCAGGCAGTCACCAGGACTCAAGAATGATTTGAAGATATAATAGCTATAGTACCTGTTCCCTATAAAATTTGTTATCTACAAAGATGACTATTTTATTTAGTGCTTTATTGTCCTTACTTAGGAAAAGTGCTAATATAATTGACATTCTTTTCCTTTCCCTTGTCATCCTTTCTTTAAAAATAAAGCTGATTGGCTCTTGCCTGTTCTCTAAACTTTAAATCCTCTTTTGTCCGAATGTTTGTTTTTTTAAAGACCTTCTATTAGCTGCTTCTTTCTCCAGGCAGACTTGCCCAATTTGCCATCCATTAAGCCAGTGGTCTCCAATCTTTCCAGTCTGATGAACTGGCTATGGGAGGGGAGAGGGGATGGTTCCATGCAAGCGGCAGGCACACACAGCCACCACAAGCACAAATGGAGCTTCATATGTGAGTGTGCTCACCCGCCGCAAGTGCAAATGGAGCTGTGCACATGCACATGCTCACCCACTTCTGTGGCCCATTTCTGAATGGGCCATTGACCGGCGGTTGAGGACCCCTACATTAAGCCAAAGGAAACCCATTAGCTAAATATTATATTATAACTCACCAGGAGTTAATAAATATTTACTGTTACGTGGGCTTTGCATGCACTAGCCACGTAATTCTCACTTCAGACTTGAATCCAGATGGCATTTTTACACAAGTATTTATTTCCAATTCACATAGTCATATTTATTTATTAAATAGGTATGTGTTATGTTTTCTGTGTCTCATTTCTAAGTAATTTACAATAAAAGTAGCAGTAAAATATACTAGAAGACCTTTGTGAAATGATCACTGCTGGACTGAGAACTCCTGCCCTAAAAACTATGCAATTTCTGAGTGAAATTTAAATTAGTCTGGAAGTTAAGTTTTGTTATTAAGGTGTTCCTTTTCTTTTTATCCCATAATTAATTTCCTTCTGGAGTCCACTAATAGTTAAACAAGAACTGCATTGATTTAATTAAGAATGCTATGACAGAGGTATCACTCATTGGTTTTATCCTGCTGTTATGCCTATTACATGGACAGCAACATGAATAGGTAGAACTGCTCATATATCCTAATTCCACTGATGTCTCTGACAAACTTATTTTGTTGGGTTGTATAATGCTCAAGTAGCAGAAAAGCCTATGTGACCAGAGGTGACAGTGTGTCAACAAAAAAGTATGTGTACCAAGGGCAAAGCTTCTCAGATTAGTATTTCTAGCTTCTGAAATCCTGAGCACTATGAACAGTTATGACAGTGATGGCGAACCTTTCAGAGATCGCGTGCCCAAACTGCAACCCAAAAGCCACTTATTTATTGCTGGGTGGGCGTGGCCCACTGGGTGGGCATGGCTGCGGTGGTCACGGCAGACTGGATGGGTGTGACCACCTCAATGTTGCTTGTGGGAGGGATGCCTGTGGGGGCCGGACAGGGTTAGGGGAAATCTAAGGGGTCTCTGGAGGGTGAGGTGAGGCAGGAGGCAGGGTGGGGCTACCATTGCTGCGGGGCAAGGCAAGGCGAGGCAGCCCCCCCGCACACAGACCTCAGTGAGCACATGGGGGCCGGCGCACTCTGGGCTCCGCAGCCCACTGCAAATACTAGGCCAGTCCTCCAGCAACAGGTGGAGTAGGGGAGGGGGGAGGCACATGATGAAGAAAGAAGGTCAGAAAAGAAATGGTTTGGGAAGCG